TAGACAGAAATTTTACAACGAAAGGACACAAAGAAGAAAATAAGACTCATAAAACACTCACAATAACTCTGCCTCCCAGTTTGCCTTGTTGCAAGCAGTCTGCTTTAGTTTCATTTTCATTTTCAGCACAAGAAAAAAAAAATCCTTCCTGCATGCAGCAAGCAGCGGAGGCCTGCATGGCAATAGCCAATGGCAATCCCTGCAGCCTGAAACAGCTGAGGGTTGTGCTAATCAGGCTGTGCTGAAGCTGAAATGGGCTGGCTTTCTGCTTTCTGCAAGGAGGTAAATTGCTGGGAGGCAGAGGCCAAAGGGTGGGGGCTGGTGGGTGGGCGGAGCTACATTTGGAGTATAAGATGCACCCAAATTTTCACCCTCTTTTAGGGGGGAAAAAGTGTGTCTTATACTCCGAAACATACGGTAGATACGTATCTTGGCACCTCTCTTTAAACTCAGGTTCCATTCAAAGGTAATACAGAAGTTCTCTTCTGGCCAGTGAGAACTCAGACTTTCTTATAGCATTTCCTTTGCAGTTGCCAAAATGAATTCCGTAGTGTAATTCTTCTCTAAACTCATATGCTACTTCAGTTCAGGTTACATTCTCTTGAAGAAGGAAACTGTTCCTCCTATAACATTTTAATTTGCTTGTATTTATTTATTTATATGGCTTATAGGTTTCTCCAATCCACTGATCCTGAGCAGTATGCAATTCCCCAATACATCATTTGGATTAAAAACAACAGATACAAATAAAATTAAAAACAGCACCATATAATGTAATCAATTATAAAACAGACTCATGATCAGACTTTAAAAACCAAGTCATGTTCCAGAGGGATAGTCGTAATAACCCCCATGGTTGTTACGACAACCTGTACCAATTTTTCTATCAATTTTCTGAAGACCGGAAGGGAAGGGACCAATCACATATCGAAAAAATGTTATTCCCGACAATTGAGAAAATGTGCTTCCTTGGCACTTGAAAGGGGTAATTTTGAATTCAGGGTGCACATAGAGAATCTGCCCTAGTAGCCTTATTTTGGGGGTGGAGGCAGTGGTGAAATGTAAAATTTGTTACTACCGGTCTGTGGGCGTGGCTTTGGTAATGTGACTGGGTGGGCGTGGCCAACTTTTTTTTTTTAAACAAGCATTTTTTCTACAACCTCTTCGGCCGAAGAGGTTGTAGAAAAAATGCTTTTAAAAGCTGGGTGGATTTGATTTAAATCGAGTTGATTTAAATCACAATTTAAATCATGATTTAAATCACTAGTAAAAAGGCTTGATTTAAATCAACTCGATTTAAATCATATCCATTTGATTTAAATCATAATTTTTAAAGAGCAACTGTCATCTCTGCTACTCCTTTGACTCACCGATAGTCCCAGTGTTTCAGAATATACAGCCTCATGCTACATAACTAAGCTCCATTTCATGCTGAATAAACTAAATTATTTATGTATCTTAAATAGAAAACTATCTTACGATAGATTTTTACCCCAAAAGTTTTTTATTAAAATAAATTTGATAAAAATCAAAAAAATCCGATTTAAATCAAAAAAATCTGATTGTTTTGATTTTTTTAAAAAAACATTGACTTTTATCCACCCTGTTTAAAAGGCACTGACAATCCCAGCTGAGCCGCACGATCATCAGAGGCTTTTTTTTTCTTTACTTTTAAAAGCATTTTTTAAAATGCTTTTAAAAGTTTTTTTAAAAAACTTCTGATGATCGTGCGACTCAGCTGGGCATGGGGGAGGGCAGGGATTTTTGTTACCAGTTCTCCGAACCACCCGCTGCCATCATTACCAGATCGGGCGATCCGGTCTGAACCCGGAGCATTTCACCCTTGGGTGGAGGGTAGATGTTACGGGGAAAAGGCTGTCATATAGATACCCAAGCTCTGAAGCAGGGTGGGCTTTCAAGGTGACAACCAGGACCTTGAAATGTACCCCGAAGCCGATTGGCAACCAGGTCTCTCTCCAAGTATAGGTGCCACATAGTGGCCCTGAGGTGTACCCATAACTACTTGAACTGCTGCATTCTGGATCAATTGTAGCTTAATGTTATATATGGGCAGCCCCATGTTGAGCATATTACAGTTGTCCAATTAAAGGATGGCTAAAGTATGAACGACAGAAATTTTCAGGAGAAGTTGCAGTTGCCACAATAAGATGGACATGAACAAAAGTCCTCTTCGCTATAACTGCCACCTGTTCACAGCAGCTGTGAGTCCAAGAGGACCTCCAAAGTGCAAATCATTTGCCCCAGGGAGTACAATCCCATTCAGAATTAATAGTAGAATCTCCTTGGAGTTGGTGGTCTTTCCAAGGCAAAGTCACTTTTTATCAGGCTGGTATGGAGTCTCGATTTGTTCTTCCCCACCCAGACTGGGAGAACCTCCAGGCACCTGAACAGCACTTTAATATCATTTATTTGATGATTTGAAGCCAGTCCATGTTGTTCCAGTTCCTCCCTCAACTGCCTAGAGATGATTTTATATGTGTCTGGAGGTACTTTTTGATGAGATCAGTATTGGTGTCTATTTGAAATTCTTGAAGTTAACAGTTCTGCCTCAGTATCTTTAGTTAACCAAATACCTTTTTATTCTGAAAAAAAATTGTCCCAAACATTTTAGATGCATTTAAATTAGCTTGCTTTTCCATTGAAAAACATTATGGTCTTAATTTCAGCTTCAGGATCCAGGCTATATCTTGAACTTAATTAAAAGCCTACACCTAAAAATCTGAATTGTCTGCAAATTTTCCCGCTGCAGTGTTTCCTCCCCCCGCAAAAAAAAACCTGTACTTGCTATTAAGGACTTTCTTCAAAAGGCTCTATCAGAAAGTTGATATTTTATAAACCTTATTTTCAACAGTCAAAGTCTGCTTCCTGTAGACTGATACAGCTCAAATACAGGCAAATGAATCAGCATCAAATGGGAAAAAATAAGTTTAAAGGAAATGCTTATGAGAACCGGTCATGTTTGTTACTGTTTCCCTGTGTACAGTAGAGATTGCTAATAGGAATTCTATCAGACCTGTCACAATTTAAACTTCTAGATAGAAACGGTCCTTGGCTCCATTTGTTGAGAAATTTATAGTTTTATTAGAGGTTGTGTACTGCAGTCTTGCAAAGCCAGAACTGAGAATCATGCGCCAAAATTCCTAACTTCTACTTTTCCCTCCCATAACTATCTCTCATTGCCCATCCCAGTGTAACCAATCAGGTTCATGCAAGATGTTTTCATAATGGTCAGTCCAAACGCAGTTTGGTATGCAGCCCCTTCCTTGTTCCAGCTGGGTGGCCTTGAGGCAGCATCTTGAGGAGATAAAGCACTTACTTTCCTTTCCCCAAGCATTCCTCTTTTCATTCCCCCTCCCAAGATTCATGGCAGTCTGTCACCACATAGCAGCGAAACACAAGCAAACATAAAGTGGCAGCTGACAAATTAATTTGAAAAGGAGATAAATGTTTGTGTGGGGCTTAAAACATTTTCTCACCACCTGTAGAGTAAATGTCTTATCTTGTTTATGATGGTGATGAATGAACTCCCCTTCTTACACCTTTGTTTTCCCTTGAATTTGTGAAGGACTCACGTAGGCAGTGAAGTTGGGTTGCTTAATGACTTCAAAAGTTAGACTTCAGATGACACTTCTCATGGTAATTGGTGTGGATTCAATAGGAAGCACAAGGGATGTGGTCCTGATAGCAGTCACAAATAGACAGGGACATGATGGAAGTGATTGGCATTTGAACAAAAAAGTACACTGAAGTTTCATTCAAATCTTCTTTCTAGGCTCCCCCAAAATTGTTCATCTTTGTCTAGCCTGATATAAAAGCAACAAATTTCAGTAGCATTTCTCATTTGAGTTTTGTGATAGGGAAATAGCTAGTTTTTTAATAATAGAACTTGATAATCAGCTATAAAGCTACAGATATTGAACAATTTACTAGGGGTAGTCCTTCACTTGCGGCCACAATTGAGCTGAAAATGTATGTTGCTAAGTGAGAAATTAGCTAGGTAAGTTTTGCCTAATTTTATGACTTTTCTTGCCTTATTTATTAAGTGAATTTCTGCAGTTGTTAAATTAGTAATACCGTTGTTAAGCGAATCTGGCTTTCCCGTTGACTTTGCTTGTCAGAAGGACATTATCTTGGAACACTGCAACCATCATAAATACGAATCAGTTGCCAAGCATCTGAATGTAAATCACAGGAAGATGCTGCAATGGTCATAAATCTGAAAAATGGACATAAGTCACTTTTTTCAGTGCCTTTGTAACTTCAAACAGTCACTAAATGAAGTGAGGGCTACCTATATAGTATACGTTCTGGTTAGCAACTGCTTTTTTCTGATGCAGCCAGCTACTATCCTGGAAACATTTCGTCAAGTAATCCATTTCCTTGTTCTAAGACATCATAATGCTCTGTTGTATATTGTCATATATTTGTTTGAATACCTATTGCAGATTTCTACCTACCTAGGCAAGACTGGCTAGTAGAGGGGGAGAAAATAGAAATGCTACAGCATAGATATTGGGCTATTGCAATGACAAAATTCATTTTAAATAAAGTTAATTAAATAAATAGATTACCTTCCACTCCCATTAAGCAATTTTCTTTTTAAAAAAAATCAGGCTACTGATTTCCTCGCATTTTTCAGATAAACCCTGTTATACAATAGTCTTGTGGCATCTTAAAGAGTAATATATTTATTCTTTACTCAATCAGGCCAACGATATATTGTTTTATATAACTTATAAACATTCTTGTGGTATTAGACTTCATGAACCGCAGTCCAATTTCTCACATGCTGGACTTTGAAACTGGAAATGAAGCTTTTTCAGGGTTGTGGAACGAACATCTATCTTCTGCTCCGTAATTGTAGAAGTTTAATGTTGACCTTTGTCATGTATTGTATAATCTTAAATGGGAAGTACGGTTCAATCTGTTCTGATATTGCACTTTCTTTTCTTCCCTTCTTTCTTTCTACAATGATCTAGGTCTGGACTATTCTGTGTTCCACCAGCCTCCTTACCAAAGACAGACGATCCTCTTAACAAAAGTTGCACTAATGGGAAAACTGAAGACAGACCATCCATAGACCTGGAGGCTGAGCAGTGGTGTTCAGAAGGAAAACCCACCAAGGCCAATGGAGAGGAGCAAGTCCCGCCCCTCTTGCCTCCACCACCAACGGGCAGTGTTCCTCCTTACCCTCCCTATTTTGAAGGAGCCCCCTTCCCCCCTCCATTATGGTTACGGCACACATATAATCAGTGGGTACCTCAGCCACCTCCGAAAACCATAAAAAGGACAAAGAGGCGCTTGTCCCGAAACAGAGACCCTGGGAGGCTCATCATGAGCACAATTAGGCTGAGACCGAGGCAAGTGCTTTGTGAGAAATGCAAGAACACACTGAATCCAGAGGAAGGTATCAAAGCCCACCAAAATGCAAAAACCCAGAGGAAGCTGAGCATCCAAGATAAGGAACAGAAAAGACACAGCGAATCAGAATATGTAGAGAAAAAGAGCAAAAGAGAAAGGCGAGAGGATGAAAAGTTTTCCAGGGAACAGCTGCAAAGGACTCCAGTTATAAAAATATCTTACAGCACCCCTCAGGGAAAAGGTGAAGTTGTGAAAATTCCCTCCCGCATTCATGGTTCGGGGAAGCCATTTTGCTCTCAGCGACTTCTCCAGAATGGTGGGGACGACCAAGATGAGGCCCAAGACTCAGAACAAGATCAGGAAAGCAAATGTTTTATGGACAAGCAATCCGGTGGGCACCATGCTTCCATTCCAAAGCTAAAGTTAACTAGGCCTGTGCATTCCAGTGCAGATGTGCCCCCGCCCAAAATCCGTCTGAAGCCCCATCGGCTCAGTGAAGGGGATAATGTTTCCATTTACAAAGCCGAACTTATTGATGAGATGAATGTTCTTCCCAGCAGTGGAGAGTCTGCTGCTGCTGCTGCGGCAGCTGCTTTTTACAGTGAGTCTGCAGAACGGAGTCTAGCTGAGATGTCTTCAGGGAGTTCCTGTGAAGATGATGACTTCAAAAGGTTTCCTCAAGGCAAAGATGGACACGATAACTTGGCTTTTCTCATGAATTATCGCAAACGGAAAGCAGACTCTTCCAGCTTGTCGGTGTGCAGCAACGACAGCCTCGAATCTAAATCTTCCAGTTCAGAAGTGGCATCGCCAGAAATATGTGACTTTTTACCTGGGGATGACGCCTCTGTCTCCTCATCTTCTAAAGATGATCGTAAAATTGTGCCCCCACTGACAGTTAGACTACACACCCAAAGTGTCTCCAAATGTGTGACTGAAGATGGAAGGACTGTTTCAGTCGGAGACGTTGTCTGGGGCAAAATCCATGGCTTTCCTTGGTGGCCCGCCCGTGTTCTTGACATAAATCTTAGCCAGAAAGAAAATGGAGACCCTTCCTGGCAGGAAGCAAAAGTTTCATGGTTTGGTTCTCCAACAACCTCTTTCTTGTCACTATCAAAACTATCCCCTTTTTCTGAATATTTCAAACTACGATTTAACCGTAAGAAGAAAGGGATGTATCGGAAAGCTATTACAGAAGCTGCGAAGGCCGTGGAACATTTGACTCCAGAAATAAGAGACCTCTTAACACAATTTGAAACATAATTTTGTCTTCAAAAACAAGTAAGTTGTGGAGGTGCATAACCCCTTTGTAGTATAGCAATTGGTTTAGAGATACATGTATTGGTTTGCTTTTGAAGGTTCAAGAGAATACTCCTATTTCAGGAGTGCACAGACTAGAGGTACGCTATTTAATACTCTCTCAAACACCCCAGTGTAACTACTGAAAATAATAAGGATTATTCCTAATCCCTAAAAAAAACCCATCCAGAAGATTCAGTGTTTGAAATACAGCCTCATTGATGTAATACTTTATATTTTTGTAAAAATAATAATAATAATGGAACAGATATTTATTGAGGATCTTTTTAAATGTCTTATCAGAGCTATATTTTGTCTTTTTTTCTTCATCTTGTTTCTTTTTAATCAAAGTGACCAGAGCCTGAATTTGAAAGAAATTTGAACATATGTTCTGACATGTTCTTAGGGTAATTGCTTTGTATTGATTCTATGTTATGTGACAGGCAATATATTTTGGGGAATTCCTTAATTCCTTTGGTCTTGGATATGGATGACCATAGAAATAAAAGCTTACTTTTAAAGAATAAAAAAAAGGAGACTGATATTTTTGAGGCAGATTCTATGCCTCTTCCACATTCTGTTCAGCCTTCCCCCACCCACCCCCAGTGACATAATTTTGGCATGCTTACAGACCTTTGCCATAGAAGACTGTGCATATTAACTTGAGCCATAAAAAATAGGGATAAAGGGTAATCTATTTCTGATAAAGAAAAGGATGAGAGAAGTCTCTTACAATGATCTAGTTTTCATAGTTTATTCAACATTAAGAGAATTTAGCATTTTACAGTTGCCTGGATTCCAATTCTGGAAATCAATCTCTTTAGGTTGTTTTTGAGACTGTGATGCTTGGATTCTTGAATGTAATAATGAGCTTGCTAAAACAATCACAATTTACATCTCTAGCCAATTAGAAGTCAGTAATTAAGACTCTGGGGAGAAGATTTGAAACTGAAAGAAAGAGATATGTTTCTGGCATGGCTAGTGATGTATGGGTCTTTTTTCTGGGACTATCAAGACATCGGATACAATCTAATTAGCATGTTCACAGCCTACTTCCACATTATGTTAAAGCCATAGCTGAATGCAGATTCAAGGTGTTGGATTTCATCCATTTTTTTAAATTACTGTCATCATCCTCCCCCGTCATTTTTTTGTTTTTATTTTTAATAGTTGTCATTTTTTTCCTGAATTAGGATTTTGGAGAACTCAAACTCTGCACAGTGTTTTCTAGTCTTGAGTTAGTCATATTTGTTCTAATGCGAATTATCAACACAGTTAATTTATGTCTGCATTTTAATTACTAAGACCAAAGACTAAATTCCTGATTTAAACATTTTATATTGATTAGGAGATGAGCTAATTCTGAGTACTGAACTCAAAAAGAACCAAGGAAAGATTAGCAATATTTTCTTCAGGAAAAGAAAATTAATTTTTTTCTCTGTGTTTTGTGTTCACATGGTAACTTCTTCACCAGTCTCCTATTATGAATGTAACCACTTACCAAAGGGGGAAAAAAAGGTTTGCTGTTTTGTTACCCTGAAAGAGTTAATTCTGTAAAAAATATTTTTTAAAATTTATTGTACAAGCAACTGATGGTCTAAGTCAGGGGTGTCAAACTCAAGGCCCGGGGATTGGATCTGGTCCACAGGCTGCTTAGATCTGACCCGTGGGGCCACCCTGGAAACAGTGAAGAATCAGCCTGCGGTGCCTCTGCCAGCGAAAATGGAGCAAGCGGTCCTCCCGAGCTCCGTTTTGTTGGTAGAGGGTTGCAGGAGGCCGTTGCAGCAGAGTGCTTGGGCCACCACAGGTGCCCCCGACATGAGTGACCTTGAGCTGGCCACACTCAACCTGATCACACACACACACCCTGAGGTCAAACACAACTCTGATGCTGCCATCAATGAAATTGAGTTTGACACCCCTGGTCTAAATTGAGACCAGGAAATTGAAGGAGCATCTCCACTCGATGATTGTAATGATGCATGTGAAGCAACTCTTTAAGAATAATTCCTTGTATACGAAAGGTCTTTTCCTGTTAGCAAAGTTGGCTCTGTGGTCACTTGGCTTCAAGTAGACCATGACTGGCTCAAGAATTCTGGGAATTGAAGTTCACAACTCTTAAAAGGGCCATAGTTCCACTAATCCTGGAGTAGAGGATATTTGAACCTGCAGTTGGCATTATAATGCTTAACATAAGATGATTCCTCTTCAAACTCTTAAGAGATCTAAACCTAGAGATCTGTGGGAAGTAGGTAGTTTATTCGAAACTGATCATGTGATAAATTGGGAAGAAATAATTTGGTGGGAAGCAAGAGGTGGTAATTGCAATTCTCTGACCCACAAATTGATTATCTGTAAGGACCAGTAGGATTCTGAAATGTGATGATTCCTACTGCTACCCAATTTAAAAATGTAAATTGTAACTACCAGACACTAATAAGGATGCAGGGCTCTTTGGAAGAAATAGCAATTAGTGCTTTAGCCTAGAGGTCCCCAACCCCCAGGCTGCAGTCCACTACTGGGATGCGGCCTGTTTCAAACCGGGCCACAGGAGAGATGGACAAGGGCATGCATGAAGCTTCACTTGTGCGGTGATAGGTCTGAAGCTCCCCTCGTGTGAGCGGAGGGTGCTTGCGCTCGTGCGCAAAATTCCACTTGCGCGAGTGGAGGACGCTTGAGCTTGTGCACTCACACAAATGAAGCACCCTCTACTCATGTTTCTGGATTTTCATGCATGAGCACAAGCACCCTCAGTTCAAGCACCCTCCGCTTGCCTGAGTGGAGCTTCACACGCAAGTGCAAGTGCCTGCCGCTTGTGCGAGTGGAGCTTTGTACACAATCACAAGCACCCTCTGTTCATGTGGAAAGCTGCATTTATGCAAGTGGTAGGTGCGCCCCCCGCTGCCTGCACAAATGGACACATGCACATGTGTCTGCCACTCACGCCCATCCCCCCACCGGGCCGAACCACCAAACTGGAGAGGTTGGGGACCGCTGCTTTAGCCAATGGTGGAATGAACTAAGTTTACACAGGTGTTGAGAATAATGGAGAGGCAGCAATCTGAATAAAATTGTTTTAAGAAATGTAAGTTTTTCATTTCATTTTAACCTTGTGAGGTTTCTTCCCCCTTTCTTAATACTGTGAAGCAAGATCAGTATTACTGCAAGGAAGAAAACAACTGCTGAGAATCTTGTCTACTCTGCAATGTTAAGTATTTCTTAAGGCTGTAGTTGTATTTTTGCCTAAGTTAAAGACTTGAAATAAGCAGGTCGTTTAGTTTTCTTGCCAACAATACAGAAGTGATTTGTCAATGCCTTTCTTTGAGTTATATATTTATTTTCCAATTTAGCTTACAGTTTTGCTGTTAAAGTATAAAATGAGGACAGATGAAATTGCAATTGTTAAGAACTAGTATTAAGCAGCTATTGTTAAAGGACCAGAGACATTGAGGTTATTTATGTGGAAGATATAAATAGTAATGCTGAAGTTCATGTAAGGTTGAGAGAAATGAGAGATAAGAGATATTGAAAGATACACTGTAATTTATCCCTTGACTTCATAAATTATCTGAGGATAATGTAATTTATGGAAGTTTTAAATGGCGTATAGGGCCCACAACACACTGCCTGCAGGGAATTGATTGATACAGCGGAGAGCCAGTGGTTAAAATGTTGACTAGGATTAGAGAGACACTTGAAGTCCAGAGTTGGCCTTAAAAGTTCCCTAAATGACTCTAGACTAATAATTCTCAGCCTAACCTACTGAAAAAATTGTTGTAGGAAATAATTGACGGAATATATATTACTTTCTGCTTAGGGCATAAATCAAATAAATATACGTATGCAAACATTTTGAATTTTACTTTTAATTTTTAGCACACAGGAAGTATCCTAATTTGAAGGCCTTTCCCCTTGAAGGGATCAAAGTCAGAACTCTTCCAGAAAAGCCAAAATGGTTTTGCACATTTCTCAAGACAATTCTATTTAGGAAGGATTCTAGCCACTGCAGAACCCTTGGCTTAAAGTTGAATACTTCCTTGGCTCCAAATTAGCAGAAGAATGGGGGTACCGAGAGTGCAAAATACTGGCTAAGCGTATTTTTACAAAAGAAGTTAATCTGAGCAATATCGCCTTCCTTCAAATATTATAACAGCCACATCCCTTGAAGCTTCACATGGCTGCTTTGATTTGCTGGTGGTCATGGAAGAAGTGCTTGTCTATGCTTGTGCAGATAGCGGGAAATGGCATATACATTAAACTTTGGATTCAGAAGCCTAAAAAGTGTTCATCTGCAGCATAAGACTCAGCAATATTACTGGGGCTTATAGTAGAACATTGCACCAAAGATACATGGATGTGTGGATGATCTGGCTGCAACCTGTCACCCCATTCATTGCCAGGGTTGATTCAGCTGATCTGGTTGGCTAGACAGGTGTCCCCTTCCTTCCTGTTCCATTGCATCTCTTCCGATGCTGCGTGCTCGGTAGAAGAGGACGACTATCCCAGATAGGAGTGTGCCAATCAAGGATATACAATAGCTGAGCTTCCCCGCTACAAACTCCAAAAGATACATGGTAGAAGTCATAAGATTTGCATTGCTGACTGGAAATTGAAGTCCACACATCTTAAAGTTGCCAAGATTGCAAATCAATTAAAGTTGCACCAAAACCAGCACAGAAATTTTTGGGTTTTGTGATTTTTATAGTGTATCTTTTACACAGTGTTCTTTGTTACATATGTACTGTAAGCCCCAGAATTTTTTCTGTGTCTTAGATTGCAGGTGAAATTTTTTTAGACTTCTGTATCTATAATGTATATGTATAAAAGAGAAGAATTTCCTAAAATCCAAAGTTTATCAATATAGATTCAAATGATCTTAGTGAAGGCTCCTCTGGTGCACATTCTTAAAATCGAGGAATAAAATCTCATGAATACAAGCTGTCCAGGAAATGTGTTTTCAGCACATGTGCTGAATATGTAGCATTTGAAAACCAGCCCTGTTTTTTCCCAAAAGTTTGTTAATATAGTAGTTTCAACCAAAGTTGAAGGAAAGGAAGACGTTATTTTGATTGTTCTTATTGTGAGTCACAAAATCTTGCTATTTACTAATAGATCTCAGGTCCACCCTTTTCCGGATCTTGATTTAGGCTCTTGTTTAGTACCATAACTATTTATTTTCAAGTTGAAATGAGCCATGAAAGCTGAATGTTCTCTTTGAAAATGGTTTTCTTTTTAGCAGTGATTTTATGTAGATTTTTGTGCTCCAAGATTTGTGTCATACTAACACCTGGTGTTAGTAATGAAATTACTCATGGTCCAAACAGTGAAGTTAGCTTTTTAATGTCACTGGGTTCTAGTGTTTGGGCGATTCTCTACCTCAGCAAATTTATGAAAAATATATTTGTCTCAGGCTGTGGTCTGAGTGTTCCAAGACTTGAACACTCAAGTCATTTTGGTACTTGAAAATAGTGAAAGTTAAGGGCACCAGAAGAAAATTACTTTCTTTTTGCAGTCAGAAACCTGGTTAAGCTATGAAACCAAAGTCTTTCCTTTCTATTCTAGTTTTGAATATGCTCACCACTAAAAGTTGATAATTGAGTAGCTGTCAGTTTTACACAGTGCACAGCTGGTTTAGACACCACTGTATTGTGGGCATATTTTGGTGCAGTGACTAAGAAACCAGGAAGCTGTGTTCTAGCCTCCCTTAAGCATGAAAAACCAGCTGGATGACTTTGAGCCAGTCACTCTCTCTCGGCCCACCCCACCTCACAAGGTTGTTGTAGGAAAAATAGGAAGTAGGAGTAGTAGCTTTGTTTGGTGCCTTTAGTTGACCAAAATATATATTTTTAAAGGATAAAAATATATAATAATTTATGTAATAATCCCTAAAATTTATAAAATAGTTTATATAATAATTCCTACAATTTATTTCTTAATATTTATAACTAGTGATTTATCATTATCATTCATTATAATTAGTGTTTATTAACATACTGGGTACCTACCAAAACTGTTAGAAAATCTACATATTGACAAAATTTCCATCAGTCAATTGCAAAAGGCCACACTGTTTGGCTTGGCAGATATACTATACTGATCCATTACAATATTCTGAGTTCTTGGAAATAACTCAGTGTGGATGGAGGCCAACACCAGCTAAAGAACTGGCAGGGGTGAATAATAATGAACAACACTTGACTATCTACCTGGGGTAGGCAGATATTCTTGAACAGTATCAAATATTTGCCTATTTCAGGTCCTTGGGTAGGACTCAATAGGTGGATAAAATTGCCATATCCAGTCTGGCAATGCGCACGCGATCCCCCCTCCCCCCCCACCCACTCCTGGCACGCGATGGTAGGCCTGTTTTTCTTTCTCACCTGGTCCAGACCCTCTCTATGCATCTGGGGAGGGTAAAAACAGCCTTCCCCACCCCCTTGGAGGCCCTCCGGAGGCCTGAAAGGGCCCATTTCCCAACTTCCAGTTGGACAGGAAGTGACGTTTTTTGTTGTCCCCAGCTTCCAAAGACTCCTGGAGGCCAAGTGCTTATTTCAGAGTTCAAAAAAATATAAGACAGGGTCTTATTTTTGGAGAAACACAGTATCTTGGTAGCTGGATGCATCTTTATTCCACTATCTCCTGTATGCTCAAAGTGGTTCTTTTTCCAAAGATGCCTACTTTGGGAACATTTCATGTGATTTTTTTAAAAAAGGCAGTTTTAAAGATTTTTTTAAAAAGTGCGCAAACAGTTTTTCATTTCCTTTTCAAATTATTTTCTTTCCCCTCTTTCTCTCAGTTCTGTGATTCATGGGCGGCTTGTATTTTAACAAAGAAAAGGAGGAAACGTGAGTTGTTATTTCAGCAGAAGTATCAAAAGCACCAAAAAAAGCCATCTTCATAAAAACTGCTAACAAGGATGCTTGGATAAAGTTTTGTTATGAAAAAGTTGAGCATTGCTGAATAACTGTGCTTGTTATTTCTTCATAGGATTACCTAAGTTTGTTCGTTCCTTGTTTCTTTTGGGTGGAAAAATGAAAGTAGTTTATTATTTTTTTCATGATTAACACTGAAGAATACTTGAGGATCTTGTGTAAAATATTTGTGTACTTTTCAGTTAAAGTCTTACTGCTGTTCATGAAGAAAAGAAATTAAGATCCATATTAACTCAATGGTTTTGGAAGTTCAGATGCCCATTCTTTTTATTCTTTCTGTTGGCTTAATTAAAGTACAGGTAGTCCTTGACTTGCAATTATTCTTAACAACCAGTGACTGTTCAAAGTTACAATGGCACTGGGAGGAAAAATGACTTATGTCAGGGAATTGTGCAGCAAGTGTCCAAATGAAATCAGAGACGCTGAAAACGAAGTAGTTTTATATAAATACATTTTACATCTATATCTACAGCAAACAGGAGCATCATGAGGTAAATCACAGGACACACAGAAGAAAAAAAGGTGGGAAAGCAGGGAAACTCCCCCTCCACACCCACAGCAACCAATCATAGTGCAGATTGCCTCACGCAGGAGCCAGCCTTCTCCAACCAATTAACTACAACTGTGTGTTCTGGCTCACTGCAAAACCTACTGCTCCAGCTCCTAAATATAAATATCTTAACAACTTATGTCTGCTTTTCACACTTATAACCATTGCAGCATCCCTGTAGTCACATCATCAAAATTTGGACACTTGGCAACTGGCATGTATTTATGGCGGTTGCAGTGTGCCGGAGTCATGTGATCACTTTGCAACCTTCTGACAAGAAAAGTCAATGGTCACATAGTCAAAATTCAGATGCTTGGCAACTAACTCATATTTAGGACAGTTGCAGTGTCCCGGGGTCATCTGATCATCTTTTGCAAAGTCAATGGAGAAGCCAGATTTACTTAACAACTGTATTAAGTTAACAATTTAACAACTGCTATGATTCATTTAGCAACTGTGGCAAGAAAGGTTGTAAAATGGGGCAAAACTCACTTAACAGACGTCTCATTTAGCAACAGGAATTTTTATGGTCATAAGTTGAGGACTATCTATACTTCAAATACATTTCCACTTTGATTTTTTTTACTCAAGTATAGGTGTAGGAAAGGACTTGGTATAATATCTTTTCCTGGTTTATTTGTTTGTTTTTGTTACATTTCCTGAAAAGGATGCCAGAATGCTGGATTGCAACCTATTAACTCAGCTTTTCCCTATCTAGGAGAAGTGAATGGTATGAAAAATTTCTAATTGCTGCCTTGATCAATATGGGTTGTTCTCTTTTTCCCCATTCTCTGGCAGACGGTGCTTCAACTCTAGTAAGCTAGGATGAGCCAGGTTATTTAATGAAACTGTAGCTGTGCCTCTCCGGTTTTCTGCGACCAAATTAGACTGTGAGGTTTAGAGCTATATTTAGATAGGTGGTTGTGTGATCAGTTTTTGTGCTCCGGGACTATTTGATGCCATTCTCTGTAACCTCTCCCTCTTTCACTTTTCTCAAGGTAACAGAAGACAAGAGCACAGCTGTCCTAGAGTTTCACAAAGTCTGTAAACATCCTGACACGCTTCCCTCGGAGAATCGTGAGGTTTCATTGCACAAGGCGGCAGGATAAATTTCCAGACTGGCCTTGCTCATCATCTGTGAAAGAGAGCTGGCACCTGGATTGCTTAGGAAGTCTTCCAGAGGCTGGTCTGACCAAATGTCATAAGGCTACTTAACACAAGAGAAGCAACTTGACCAGTAGTATCTCGAAGAATTTGGGGTAGAATGAAATACTACACCTTGGAATGTATTTATTACCTATAAAATGTTAGCTACTCTTTATAATTTCCCCATCTCCTTCCTCCTCCTCCTCCTCCGTTAGATAAACATTGCTGCTGCTTTTCCGTAACAAGATTTATCATGTACTCTTGTTTAGTTTTAACAATGGAAAACTGTTGACTCCAATTATGCACATTCTTAAGAAGGGATATGCAATAGAAAGAATCAGTGTAGTCTTAAACTAAAATGGACTCACTTGTGTCTATTAAAATTTGGAAACTGTTGAACTCAACTTTCTTGGATGACTTTTATTGTGAAAAATATGCTTGAGCTCTTATTCGTCTATTTTAGGATTATACAATCTGCCCATTGCCTTCAGACATTCCATGAGTATTGAATTAGGCATCAAATATTTCAGGCGCAATCATACAAGGAGACAAATGTACTTGTGGTTGCCTTTTAAAATAATAGTAATTGTGCCAAGGTTTCTTAGTGCAGACCTGGGCATCATTTTAGTCTGGGAGAGCATTGAAAAGGTTCAATGCATGTTGTGAGTCCTGTAAAAATAACACTTGCCATGAAAGACTTTCCTATTTACAAAATGGCTACCATGCTAGGCATGGCTAGCCACAAAGCACCATATTACAAGAAAGTAGTCTTGCTCTCCACTCCGAGAATTCTTTCCAAGAATTCATCAAAGTGTAATCTTTGCAGTCATTGCTGAAAATAAACACAGTGTTTAAATGCAAGAGGTCAGTTCCCAATTTTAAAAAATCTGATGGGACCAACCACTTAGAAAATATCAGGAAAGGGACCTGGAGGCTCGTTGGTGCTCATGGTCACCCTTACCCAAAAACCTAGGATATTTGAACTTCCTGAAGTGTACATATCTAAGGCTTGGATGGTTCCCTCAGGCAACAGATTTTCTTAAACTAGTGGATGCACTTTGTTGCTGTGGTTGAGTTCAACCATATCTTCTTCTAAAATGCCGATTGCCATCATGCACCCTGTGCTTCCCTATAATTCCCAGAATTTCCAGCAATTGATGGGGGCACCAGACATCCAGCCATGGAATCATTGAATCTCTTGTTTCTATAGTGGCACCTCTCCCATTCTTTTCAAAGGTCTGCTTTTTCAGACTGGGAAAAAAGAATTGTCAACCAGCTTTCTGATTTCTGCTGTTTTGGAAAAGCCAGGATCACTGTTGGAATTCTTGAAAACATTCTAGCAATCAGACATATCTGGATACAAGTAATTATTTTGGTGTTAATTAGAAATGATCTAATCGTCTCAGAATTGCTTATTAGAATATTGGATGGGCATTTTAGACATCCACAGTTCTACAGAATTGAGAAATAATTTTCGAATTGTTATATACAAACAGGAATATTAGGAACATATGTATGTTAATATATATAAATGGGAATATATTGGTAAAATGCTTGCTATGCAGTGCTATTTACTGATTTTTAGTTTTTATTGCTATAATTTTATAACATTGGGGAAACTTAGTCGATGAGAAGGTTGAAAATTACTGTAGAAAACCCCCATTTATAAGAAAATTATAAGAAAGCCCACATTTTTACTTATTATTTATTTTCTAGATTAGGATAGGGCTGTACAGTTCCAAATTACAAAATAGTTGGTTTAAAAACAAAAAGACAGGGTAGGATGTAAAACACATTTAGAATTTTGAATTTTGAAACATGCTGCTTCAAGTATAAAGCAACTATTTTGAGCTTGAAACAAACATGTTTTGATCATCTGGAAATCTATCAAATTAAGAGCATGAATGCATATTTTGAAATGTTCTGTACATCCTTAATGTGAAGATAAACCCAAAGTTTGTTTTATTTTGGCAGGACGTTTAAGAGAACTGAAATAATAAACATGAAGTAGAAGAAAAACTAAGAATCAGCACTGAGAACAGGAGTAGGCAAACTGTAGGCAAATGACACTTTCATCATGTGTTTCATTTCACCATTGTCATGCTGTCCAGAACACTTAATCATAGTTTAGCAATTTCTAAACAGTTATTGTATGAAAAACTGTGTAATTATTCCAAGAGGATTTTGTGCTGCCCCATTCTGAGAATGATTTTATCCAAACAACTCAGATACCTCGAATTCATTCCTGTTCTAGGAGATTCAAGTCCAAGAGCCTTGGTAGTACAGTGGTCTAAAGCATCCTGTTATTAAGACCAGCTGCCTGCAATTACTGCAGGTTCGAATCTCGCCAGGCTCAAGGTTGACTCAGCCTTCCATCCTTTCTAAGGCAGGTAAATTGAGGACCCAGTTTGTGGGGGCAATAAGCTGACTGTATAAATATACAAAAGGATGAAGGCTATTGCTTAACGCATTGTAAGCCGCCCTGAGTCTCCGGAGAAGGGCGGCATATAAATCAAATTAAAAAAAAAATGGATAAACGACTCAACTCAACCCCTTCCATGAGAAAATGGAATGGTCCACATTGCTTTGCACTTTTATCACTAAAAGGTTATGGTAATAGCATTTAAAAAGTAGAAACACATGCTGTGTTCCTTTCTTGACAGACTTATGATAAACTGCCCCCTGTGAACCAGGTCTGCATTTAACATTGAAAACAGTCAATCAGCATTTCTACATGTCTCAAAGGAGGGTTAAATGTAAAAATAACATCAATTAATCCTCTGTGGTTTTGCAGACATTGTTCATAGGAGGAAAATGGGTTCGTGCTAAATTACACAGAAACATTTCCTTTGGTCAAATTAAGGTTGACTGTTTAGTGATGCATATTATTTGAAGCTATTATTAAATAGCATAGCCAAGTTATTGTCGGTTTCATGTGAGATTGTTCATATTATTGTTAATTTGTGCCATCTCCTGATTCAGATCCAAAAAATGCTGCTCATTACAATCTTAAAGTTTTGAAGAATTGAAACTCAGAACATTATCTGCTTCTATAGAAGTTTTGCCTGTCTTTCAGTTCAATCTATAGAGACATGGCATTCTTGTCCCACCACTGCAAATGGTAATGACTTTGGGCTGTACTTTTTTAGAAGTCATGCTTAG